GTCACACAGGGGTCAAAGGGTTTGGGGATACACAGACATTTGACTGCAGACGCATAACCCCAGCAAGGGGTCTTATGACTGGTTCAGACATGCTCAGAGATAGTTGACACTGGCATAATCACAAACCAGTCATGAGGAGCATAAACACATAGAGGGGGACAAGGATTTGGGATTCACAAAAATGGTAAGTACACAGTAGGTAAAGCAGTTGTCCAGGCATGCTTTGAATCATATAAGAGAATACATTGATTTAAAGGGAGGGGAGTCATACTAGCATGCTGATAATATAACCTAACTACAGACTTCACAATAGAACCACAAGTAAAATCAAGCTAGAAATAAAAGAAACTGAAACAAAAAGAGAAGCATATTGTTGTTGAGGCTTTAAATTAAACTAGGACATACCAGTGAAGATAGAAGTAAGAAAAATGAAAGAACCAAAGAGCACCGAGGATTAGCCTGGGCTTGCAGCCGGCTAATAGTAACAAATAGCACAAGAGAAGGGGAAGAACATGGATTTTTAATAAGAGAGGAGTTTTTGAAAAAGCAAGTGTCCCTGTTGTTTGTAAAAGACTTAGAATATTTATAGTTGAAAGCAGGTAGTGAAATAAGGTAAAAATCATAGCAGTATGCTAATTTAAGAACTCAGAATCAATCAATTAGAGAATCAAGGAAGCTCTCCCTTAAGTTAAGGGAATCAAGATCAAACGGAAAGATGCAGTACCATATAAGGCAGGAAGAAGAATCAGTGTATGATTAAATAAGGAAGGAGTCAAGGTTCAGTAGGCATAAACTAGTCAATTAGGACCAAATTAAGAAAGACCCAATTAAGGAAAGACTAAGTAAAACAAAGTACCATAGTAAATAAGGTAATGAAATCAATCAATTTAAATAGACGAGTAGAATTCTATGGCTTTGAAAGAAAATCTTTCAATTACCACAAATTAAGGAGAATCAGAATCAATCATGGGGAGTCATGATTCTGTCTTCTCAACATATAAATAAAGACGAATGAACAAGAGTAGCAAACAAACAAGGTCAGCTATATAGACATAAAGAAACAAGAGATGAGCAAACACAATCATATAGAGGTGATATAAGTAGGATAAAGATTCAACAGAACATATGCGAGGCATGGTGAGAGATTAACAAGAATCAGGTAAACAGGTTAACACACAGAACCAAGGCAAAGGAAATCATGCTAACACACAGAATCAAGGCAAAGAAAATCATGCTAAAACATAGAAATAAAGTAAAGAAAAATCTTTAAAAATTAGGGTTTTTAACAGAGTCGAACTAAAAAGCAGTAGGAACATAAAATTGGTCAAAATAGGCAAGGAAAATGGTTTAATCATGAAGAAATCAGTTGGAATAGGTGTAGAAAGAACTCCGAGAAAACCCTAGTTTTTAAAGAAAGTAAAATGGTTTAAAAAATGACTATCTTTTAGAAGAAGTTCAAAAATAGGCGAATCATAGAAGGAAATAGGCTTAAAGCATGAAAATAACATAGATCTGAGAGATTCAAAAGAGGGTTAGGGTTTCAAAAGGAAACCCAAGTAGAAATCGAAAGAACCTGTTGTAACTTCACAAATCGTAACACACATGGTGTGATTTTGCCCAAAATTACACCAGAGAAACCTCGAACAACAGAGTCAGAAATCTTAGGTCCAAATCAACATGGCCCAGGGCCCTTGAATGCCTTAGAGATGATGAGCAAAGTGATGAGAGACCCATTGGAGACTTGAGGTTGAAGGAGGTAGCTAGAGATGACCGAAGAAGGAGGGGATTGACGGAGTTTTAAGTTTAGGTTTGAGAGAGGAGAAAATATGAGAGCATCTAAAGGCGGCGCCCTTGGAAAAATGACTTAGGGTTAGGGGTCGTTTGGAAATTAAAAAGGAAAGGAGGAATAAGGGCCGTTGATCTAAAAGATCAATGGCCAGGATTTATGTTGGCTTGGGCCGGGTAGACGTGTATAAGGTCTGGGTCGGGTGATTGGGTGTGAAATTGGGCTGGAGAGGGGTCCGATTTAGGCTATATTTGAAAGCCAGATTTGGCTATAATTTAAATAGCCAATTTTTCCCGTATTTAATTTATAAAAATAATAGGTAATTTGGAAAATAATTTAAAGTGCCAAAATGATTTAAAATACATAATTGACATTTTAAAAATATAGGGACCAATTTTATGTATATAAAATATAATTATACCTTAAAATGGGCTAACATTGCAATTATATGCAATTTAGCTTAAAAAATACAAAATGTAATTATAAAAATGCATAAAAATATACTAGCTATATTTTGGCATGAGTATAGAAACTGAATAAATGAATTATCAAAACAATAATTTTGGAAAAAATTATTGGGGATTTTATGGATAAAAGGGGAGAAAATAAATCAATTTAAACACTTAAAATTATGGGAGAAATAATAAAAGCCTTGTGCATGCATATATATNAATTGGGTATCAACAGTGGTTAATGAGTTTCCCGATGAGTTTCTAGACCTTTTGCCAGAGCGGGAGATTGAGTTTGATCTTGAACATTACCAGATATTCAATCGATATTTATTCCTCCTTAAAGAATGGAATCTGCAGAGCTGAGAGAGTTGAAAGAACAACTGAGGGATTTGCTTGAAAAAGGCTTTATCAGACCTAGTACATCACTATAGGGAGCATATGTGTTATTTGTGAGAAAGAAAGATGGTTCCTTGCAGATGCGTATTGATTATAGGTAGTTGAATAAGGAGACAATCAAGAATATGTACATGCTCCTAAGGATTGATGATTTATTTGATCAGTTGTATGGTTCCAGGTGTTTCGACGGGTTACCATCAAGTAAGGGCTAGAGAGAAACATATTCCAAAGACAACATTAGGGACCAGATACGAGCACTTTGAATTTCGTGTTATGTCATTCGATTTGACCAATGCCCCTGCAGTATTCATGTACTTGATGAACTGTGTGTTTAGACCCTTTCAAGATATGTTCATGATTATATTTATAGATGTTATTTGGTTTATTCCCGTTAAGAGGCTGAGCATGCAGATCATTTGTGTACTATGCTCAAAGTTCTACAAGAAAGGAACTTGTACGCAAAATTCTCTAAATGTGAATTCTATTTGAATTCTATTGCTTTCCTTGGACATATTATTTCAGATGAGGGTATCCGGTTTGATACACAAAAGATTGAGGCAGTGAAGACTTGGCCTAGACCCACAATACCGACGGAGGTTCGTAGCTTCCTGGGTTTGGCAGGTTATTACAGGAGATTTCTAGAGGGCTTTTTCTCTCTTTCAGCACCATTGACAAAGTTGACTCAGCAGGCAACTAAGTTTTAGTGGGCTGCTGCTTGTGAGGAGAGTTTCTAGGCATTGAAAGATAGATTGACTTCAGCACCGGTGCTGACACTCCAGAAGGGACCGATGGTTGTGCTATCTATTGTGATACTTCGGGCATTGGATTAGGTTGTGTACTGATGCAATATGGTAAGGTTGTAGCTTGTGCTTTTAGACAATTAAGAAAGCACGAGAAGAATTACCCGACCCATGATTTAGAGTTAGCCACGGTGATTCATACACTAAAGATGTGGATGCATTAGTTGCATGGCATTCAATTTGATATCTATATGGATCATAAGAGCCTTCGGTATGTCTTCAAGCAAAAGGAATTGAATTTACATCAAAGGCGATGGTTGGAGCTACTTAAAGACTATGGCGTTGATATTTTATACCATCTAGGGAAGGTGAATGTAGTAGCCGACGCCCTCAGCCGTAGATCTATGGGTAGCCTATCATATTTATAGCCAGATAAGAGAGAGAGAGAGAGAGAGAGAGAGAGAGAGAGAGAGAGAGAGAGAGATTGCCCATGAGATTCATCAGCTAGCTGATCTTGGAGTTCGATTACTAGATTCAGGTGATACTGAAGTTACTATTCAGGACACAACAACATCCTTTTTAGTAACTGAAGGGAAGGAACGCCAGTATGAGGATCATGTGCTAGCTCATTATAGAGACACAACCCCTCAAAAAGAGAAGACACTATTTAAGATTACAGGAGATGGAGTCCTTAGATATCAAGGTTGATTATGTGTTCATAATATGGCAGGGCTGCACCAGCAGGTTATAGCACTACTAGAAAATGGCAGATTTCCGACGGCCAAACCGGTCGGAATTCGGTCGGAAATCACGTTTTTTCGACTACTTTCCGACCGAATTTGGTCGGTCGGAAAAAAGTTGGTCGGAAAACAATTTCTGACCGAATCCGTCGGTGATTTCCGACTAAAGTGGTCGCAAATTTTGAAAAGGTTAGACTACCAAATAATTCACCTTTCCGACTAAAGTGGTCGGAATTTACCGACTGAATCGGTCGTAATAATACAAGGAAAATTAATAATTAAAAATTAAATTATATTTATTTTCTGACGGAACCCATCGAAAACTATTAAATATTAATTTGTTTTTTTTTAAATTTCTGATCGAATCTATCGGAAATTAATAATTAAAAATTAAATTTTATTTAATTTCTGACGAAATCCATCGAAATTTTTTAAATATTAAATTTTTTTTAAAAAAACTTTCCGACCGAATCAGTCGAAAATCTGACAATTTATTGTTAAATCTTGGGAGCTTTCCGACCGTTTCAGTCGGAATTTTGTACAAAATTGGGCAGAATTCTGCCCAATTTCGAGCTACACCACCTATCAAACTATCACAAACAAAAAAATACCAACCAACAATCTAAACCAACGATACATTAATACAATAATACGAACCAACAATACATTAACACTATCTAAATTAACAATACATTAACAAATTCTAAACCAACAATGCCAACCATTAACACAACTTAAACCAATAATACCAACATTTAAACCTAACAATTTTGGGCATAAAAACATCCAAATATAAGCCCATATTCAAGTTTAAAAGCAATACATAAATTAAAGTTGTCTTTCACATTCAAGTTTACCAATCAACCAAAACATCACAACTAAACTACTACACATCAGATTCAGTTTGTTCATCCTCATCATCAGATAAATCATGCTCATGTTTACGCATGAATTTCTGCATCGTAACAAATGTTCTGTATTGGGAGTTGAATTGTTGCTTCAATCCACGAATTTCGTTTCTCATATCTTCCATCTGTTCTTTATTTTGAGGAGAAGAATTGGCTAAGAGTGGGTTTGGATGACCTGTAGGTCGATGTACTCCTAGTCCATAGACTCTGCCTTTGTTTGCTCCGCCCACTGCCTCTGTCCACAATGAAGCCATATCATCAGGTGTTGGTTGAGTTGAAGGAGGCTGAGTTTGTTGCCATTCTTCCAACCTTTTATGATAATCTTCCTAAAATGAAAAATATAACTATTATGTAAACAAACTTCATAAATAATTATGAAGTTAGAATTTTACATATGTGTCTGATACACGCGTCACCACCCAGTGTTCTCTTGTACCATCCTTTTTCTTTTTCTTATGCAACTCCTCGAAGACCTCAGCGTAACTCACATCTCGCCCTCTTTGCTTTTCCTTCATAAGAAAAAGTATGAGTTAGACTTTACAAACGTAAAATTCTATATGTAAAACTAAGACATTTTTTATAAATAATTACCATTCTTACTTTATGGGTCTCAAAAGTAATCGAACCTCCTGTGTGTAACGAGCCACCTTTTTTAGAGGCACGGTTTGCCTTTGCTTGTTCACTCTTTGCCTTCCATTCTGGGGTATTCCATTTCTCAAGACGTTTATCCCAAATATCTTCTCTTAACCATTCCGACATTTTATCGGAATTTCGAGCAGCGCACATAGTATCTTTAATCCTTATAGCAGCTTTCTTCTCAAAAATACTATTTATTGCATTTTGATGCTGAGTATGCCATGTACACCTTGTCTGCAATATAAAAAAGTAACATTAGATGAAGACGATAATTATTAATAAATATAATTAATTTTTACCCTAAATTGATTCCACATTTGCTCTCTGATGCTGTACGGTATCTTTCCCCAAGAAGTCCACGGCTCATGATAAAATGGCTTCATAGAATCTGTAACCAAATGTGTAGCTTGAAAGGATGGCAAAAACCTGCATTAAAGTTAACATATATATAATTAATAAACACCTTTTAATTGCAAATAAATTCTCCTTAATGTTAATGTATCTAAATGTACATTCAAAACATAAAAATTTGTATAAGAACCTTCTTACCCATCCTTGTGGGGGACGATTATCAATCAATTATAACTATCAAATTGTACATCCCCTCCAAGATTCTGCCTGCGTCTACGAGATGGTGCATAAGCAGCACTAGATGTAGCTGGGTGAGAGCCTCCAATATCCAACCTGGATATGCTGGGAATTGATGATGATGATGGACTGGAAGATGATGGAGCAACAAAAGATGCACCATCATGCTGTCTACCATGAAAGCTCGGGGGTGCAGCAGCTGGTGAGCCAGTATCCTGACTACCATGAAAGCTCGGGGGTGCATCAGCTGGTGAGCCAGTATGCTGACTACCGTGAAAGCCCGGGGGTGCAACAGCTGGTGAGTCAGTATGTTGACTACTATAAAAGATCGAGGGTGCAACAACTGGTGAGCCACCATGAAAGCCCGATGAAGATAATGGTATAGAAGATGTGTGTACAAAGTTAAAAACAATGTTACTTTGACTGCCTTTAGCAGGCATAAAATAATACTGAACTGAATTATTAGATGGAGGGGGGATAGTGAACATGGTGGATGGCAATGAAGTCGATTGAGGAGGATGAGGAAGAGGATGACTCATATTTGGCATAGTTGAGGAAGTTGGAACAGATTGTTTTTTCTTCTTAGATTTTATTTCCTTCCCCTTAGATGCCATATCTGTAATATAATCACAATAAAATACAAAACAAAAAATACAAGAAGTGACAGTAAATATAAAATAATTAAATGACCAAAGAAACCAAATAAGTCAAGTAGCAACATATAATAAAAATCATGTTAAATAATAAGTAATACTTACAAATTCTTTAAACCACTCTGGAAAAATAGGGCCACAAGTCCTATTTTCCTTTTTTTTCCCTCAACAATTTATTTAGTATACGTCTCTCATTCTCAAAATTAGTCGTTTGACAAACTGAATTTGTTTTAAATTGTTTGACATTTTAAAAAAAGGCCATCTAATAGGAGTAGTATTTTTCTCAAATCTGCTCTTACTGTTCTAAGTAGTGATTGTTAATTAAGTGCGACAGTTAATAGAGATAAAAAATAGTTTAAACAAATATTAGTGTAATTAATTCCATAAAATATATTGTTAGGAGTGTGCAAATTGCAAAAGCAAAAAAGACGGATAATATGGACAACTGCAGAAGGTAGCAATGCACAAGAAAGGATCGGGCAGTGGAGACAAAGTCTCGACGGAGCTTCAGCGGTGCCAGTAGTGCCGCTGGTTGGTGGCAGTGGTAGGTTTGGGTGGGGGAAGTTTGAGTGAGAGAGAGAAGAGAGAAGGAAGAAAAGAGGAAAAGAAAAAGAAAGAAGTGCGTTGGTAGGGTTTTAAAAAAATATTTCCGACTGATTCGGTCGGTAATTTGGTCAAAGCAGTCAACCTCGATTTACTAAAAATTTCCGACCGAATCGGTCGCTTTTTTTTTTTTTAAAAAAAAAAATTATTTCCAACCGAATTGGTCGCTAACAGTGGCGCGGAATTTTTCGCCAAATTTACGACGGATATAGACAAAATATTAGTCGTAACTTTTATTAAAAATTGAAAAATTAATTTTTATGTATTTTCTGACTGATTCCGTCGGAAATTTCCCACTACTTTTTTCTGTCGAAAATTTCAGTCGAATATTGGCCGTTTTTTAGTAGTGTGGGAGAAACTCACTATTCTCATTATTCTGTTCATCCAAGAGCGACGAAGATGTATCATGATATCAGGGAGGTATACTTGTGGGACGAAATGAAGAATGATATAGGAGAGTTTGTTGCTCAATACCCTAATTCTCAGTAGGTTAAGATTGAACATCAGAAACCCGGTGGATTATTGCAGGCTAAAGAGATTCTGACTAAAAAATGGGAAGTAATTAATATGGATTTCAACATTGGCTTACCTCGTACCTAGCGTAAATTTGATTCTATATGGGTGATTGCTGATAAACTTACAAAATCAGCCCATTTTTTGCGTGTCAAGACTACGTATTAAGTAGAGGATTATGCAAGGCTTTACATTAAGCACATGGTATGACTTCATGGTGTCCTATATCTATTATCTTAGATAGACGTGCTCATTTTACAACTAATTTATGGAGGTCCTTCCAAAAAGGACTGGGAACTCAAGTAAGTCTTAGTACAATATTTCATCCCCCAAACAGACGGTTAGGTTGAGCATACTGCTTACTATTCAGACACAGGAGGATATTCTATGGGCTTGTGTGATAGACTTTAGGGATAGCTGGGATGATCATCTTACACTTATTGAGTTCGCATATAATAATAGCTATCATTCCAGCAGTCAAATGACTCCATACAAAGCTCTTTACGCACAGAAGTGTAGGTCACATATCGGATGGTTTGAGGTTGGGGAAACTAAGTTAGTAGGACCAGAGTTGGTACAACGGGTAGTTGAGAAGATTAAGCTTATATAGGAAAGGCTATTAGCAGCTTAGAGTCATTAGAAGTCCTATGCAGATAATCAACGACGAGACTTGGAGTTTCAGGTAGATGACTTGGTATTCCTAAAGGTATTACCAATGAAAGGCGTTGTGAGATTCGGTAAGAAAGGAAAGCTTAGCCCTCGGTACATTGGACCTTATACGTTCATACGTAGAGTAGGCTAGGTAGCATATGAGTTAGACTTGCCTTTCAACTTGGAGTTAGTACATCAAATTTTTCATGTGTCTATGCTCCATAAGTGTATCAAAGATCCTTTTAGAGTCATTCCGGTTAACGATGTTCAGGTCATACATCAACTATCATATGAGGAAGCTCCCATTGATATACTAGATAAACATGTTCATAGATTGAAAACTAAAGACGTATCTTCGTTAAAGTACTTTGGAGGAACAAGAATATGGAGGATATGACTTGGGAAGCTGAATAAGTATGGATCCTCACTTGTTTCCTCTATCGAAGGAGGATCGGACGGAGAGATCACAACCTTTAGGTACGTATATGGTACTTGATTCTGATGTTAGTTATTGTAATTGGTCGTGTAAGGCAAATGGAGTTATTGATGATTGTGGACCTGTGTGGCTTTGTATTGTTGGGTTTGCTATTTGATAGGTTGGTATTAGTACCGTTATAGAGGAGTCTCTGCCAAAATTTCTACAGATCTCTTGGAGTTTAACATTCGAGGACGAATGTTTCTAAAGGGCAGAAGATTGTTTCACCCTATGCGTCCCAAGGTGATATATAATATATACGAGACTTGGTAATCATAATTTAAATGATTTAAAGTCAAAATATGACTATATATGATGTTTGGATATAAAATATAAAGTATTGAAAAAATTGGATTTAAGTTGCGGAAAAAACGACTAAGGATTATCCTTGTAATAGAGCATTTTGAGCAATAACTTTTGTGTGCTATATGGGGTCTTTATGGGACATATTATATTCCAAATTGGAGGTCTTGGAATGTAGTTTCCAATTCTCTTAACCGTTTGTTCATATGATAGCCGGATAAAAAGATATGAGCATCAGAAGATGGGCCAATGCTAGGGTGCCAAGCTAGCACCTCTTTGACTTTTCAAAAGTTGATATATAGGACTTAAGTCGCCTCTCTCTTTATTTTTACCTAGAACCCAACCAGATAACACCCATAAAACCTATGCTTGAGTTCTCTAATAGGGTGCAAAGAATATTAACATCCCAGCTACGAAATCGAGAAGCGATAACATCATAACAATCTCTATGACGTAAGTATCATTATACCGCCTCTCGTTTTCCTTGTAGTTAGAGTTTTGGAAGGTACTTCATAGATAAGAAAACATCTAATTTCCGTATTTAAGTGTTTAAATGTCAAGGAAGGTTGATAAATTGGTTTCCTAATAGTTAGAACTCACGGGAAGACGATCGGAAGCTGTGAGTTTAATTTATTCCACTTTTAGTGGACTGTTTTGTAGTCCACTCGTATTGGTCTATTGTGCTACTGATTTATGGAGTTTGGAAGGATAAAAGGGTGTGGATAAGCGCCACATCTAGTAGGGTAGTAGGTTGGTCTCTCGTCGACCAGTTTTAGGCTAATTGATAACTTCTTGATTGGATGTGTCATGGTATATTTGGGGTTTTTGTTGTATTGTAGGTCCGAATTTGTAATTAGGTTTGTTTGGAGTTGCTGATTGTATTGTGTTTATATCTCGCCTATAGTAGGCTTGAGGGAGCAGTAAAATCAGGGGAAATGTTGTCCATTTTATTTTAGAGTCGAGTTATCATTTGAGATACACGATATATTAGCAACATATAAGTTGTACATGCATTTCTTTGTTATAAGGTTGGCGCGCTACTTGTCATAAGTTTCTTGTTAAGTTGCATTGACGACTTGAGGTATGTTGAGGCTATCCCTTCTTTCCTTTTGGCGTGATCCATATGATACAACGAAACGAGTAAGAACACATCTTTCATAAATGACTTACTATAATAACTAGGGTTGCCTATGTTCTGAATTCCCCATATGTCCAACTATCATAACGTCTATTCATGGGTCTCATAATATTTCGAGAGATCTTATTGACTTACTTCATTATGCATTGCATCTATTTATATATGCATATTGACCCATGACCAGATGACGTTATATACG